TACGGGGGCCCAACAGTGGTATCAGAGCCATGGCCCAGACCTAACCATGTGGTGGAAATTGCCGGAATCTGTGTGAAATTGCCGGTGGTTCTCGGTGCCGAACAAAAAATGGTGAGCTCCCGGTGCGCAAATGGCAGGCGGCTCGACGAGCTCCAGGTGGGAGGCTCGGTGTTCCTTTGTTCGAGGCTCGGTGCGCTCTGAAACAAAGATGGATGTGAGCCCCAGGCGCAAATTGAGGGGAGGCTCGGTGGTCCTTTGTGGTCCGATCTATGTGGTACTTTGTTCGAGAGGAGGCCTTTTGGGGACCCGCATATATATATATATATGTGTACGAATACTAATGTTGATATAAAATTTCAACTAACTCTATATTAAAATAAAAATAAGTAGAAACCAGCAAAATAAAAAAAATCCTACAGTTATTATATATAATCAGATGTAAATTATATATTATTAAAACATAGAAATTCAAATTATCATAACTATTAGTCTATTATTATTCCAAAAAAGGAATTCCCATGTTTATAGAATTTAGGTAAAATAATTATAAATCCATAAAATTAAGACAAAAAACAAGTGAAAATAAATTATTAAAAACATACCAAAAGAGAAAAATGGAAAAGGAAAAAGAAAAATGAAAAATAAAAAAATGATGTGGCGTCTTTGGGTGGGGGGGAACAAATAAAGAAAGAATAAATAAGAAAATAAATATGGGAGGGGACTCGGGAGTCTAGGGGTGGCTGCATTGGATGTTGCAGGAGAAGTAGGTGGTAACTGGTAGGAGACAAAAAAGGAAATTCTGGGCCCACATATTACTACAGAGAAGGAGAGAAATAAAAGGAAAAGCTGGGCCCACGTGGCGAGAGAAAAAGAAAAAAGAGAGGGCCCACATATTACTACAGAGAAGGAGAGAAATAAAAGGAAAAGCTGGGCCCACGTGGCAAGAGAAAAAGAAAAAAAGAGCAAAATAAGTTCAGAATTGTACGCGGGGTGAATAAAAAATAAAAGTAAAAAGAAACATCTGGCCCACGAAAATGGCCGAATGCAATCAAACACCTTAAAATTAAATGAAAAAGAAATTAATGGCTGCATCTAATTGGTAGAAAAAAACGAACGACGCCATTTTACATGGAAAATGACAGAAAAAAAAAGGAAAAAGAAATTCTGGGAGAGTAAATTCAAGATCATCGACGCTTATATTTATGTAATATATATATATATATATATAATAATAATAATACTAATAATAATAATAACTATATTTACCCGGTAGCAGTTGAAATTTCAAGAATGTTTTGAGATCCTACACCTAGTAAAATACATTATGTGGTTTTAAACCGTAGATTTATATAAATAACTACTTACTAATCAAACACATACATAGTTTAAAAGCACATGTTTTATTTCACTGGGTGTAGGCTAGAGAGAGAGAGTGAGTGTAATAAGCATAAGTGCATAACTGTGGTTGTGGTTTCTAGGTTAGTGAGAAGCATAACAATGAAGTAAGTAGAGTATGATATAAACATAAACAAGAAAGCATATGGAAAATAAAAGCAGAAACAAACAAGAATCACGGAACAATTCTCTGTGGATCGCGAGGGAAAAGAGATGTTTTGCGGATATTGTTTAGCGCACAGAAGAGCATCACCACCCTCTCCAATCCCACTCCGAATCCGCCGTGTGGCGCAGTCCCGTACCTTCAAATACAAACCAGATACGCGCCCATCAGACACACAAATCTACTATGATTGCATTATACAAATCTAGACACTTGTGATTAATTACGGACACAGCCCGACACGGGTGTCGGAGGCATGTCCGTGACGAGTGTTCGAGAATGTTAAGAAATCTCAAGTCTTGAGAATAACAGTAGTTGTATAAAGAAAGGGCAAAAGAAAGTGCACCTGAAAGAATCAATATATGTAGAGATTGTCTTGCTCGTGACATCGATTCCACATGCTTGTGCTCGCTCCCTCAATAAATCGGCCACGTGCACACGCTGACCGCCCGATATAATTTCCTCCCCTAATAAACAAACAAAACAAAAATGTTTCATTATTATTTAAAATAATATTTCATATATACTGATGTGAAAATAATCAATGCACGGCGATAAGTTGTATAGTTAGTTAGTTACCTCGGATAAAAACATCAAATGAATTGCTGTACTCCGTACCATCATGACTAGGCATCGTATAGAATGGTCGAACAGACAGAGGGTAGCGGTAAAGGATATAGAACTCCGTGTCGTACCTACGAATTTGGAAGTATCTCGATACGATCAGTTTACATCCGACATATCTACTTAATCGGAGCAAATAAAATTAAACTCAGCATACATACTTTTCAAGTACAAGTTGGCCAAGCTTTCTCTCTGTTTCCGTGCTGAGATCTCCAAGGGGATCAACTTCGACGCCGGCTTCCTGCAAAACATACGAGCCTTTCAAGAAATATTTCCTTAACAAAAAGAACATATGAATGCTCGTTTTTTTCCCTTTTTTACCTTCAGTATTTGAATCCCCTCTTCAAAGGAAAGACGCAAGGTCTTACGCAAGTACTGCATAATCAAAGACGACAACGATGAGTAATCGACCAAAAGAATCGTTATTACAACATATAACAATTATCGAGTCAACAAACCTTAAGAGGCTTAAAGGGGTATTGCCTATTGATGACTTCAAGCAACTCCGAACATTCCTCATTCAAAAAGTCGAACATCGTCACAAATAAGCGGTCAACAATGTCCATCACCTGCATCACGAATAAGCCGAGATAAATATGACTTACGAAACAAAAATTCGAGACTAGTCAATAATTTCTAATAAACAAATAATAAAAATACCTCAGAGTAATGCTCGTCAATCTCCATTTCGACATCGAGACCAGTAAATTCGCACAAGTGTCGATGCGTGAAAGAGTCTTCGGCTCTAAACACGGGACCAATCTCAAAGACACGGTCAAAATCGCCGCAGATGGATAGTTGCTTATGAAGTTGAGGTGATTGTGCCAGGCATGCAGGCGTCCCTTTATAATCTAATCTAAATACGGCCGAACCGCCTTCACTAGAACCTGCTAATGTTTTCGGGGTGTGGATCCCGAAAAAATCTTCCGACTCCAAAAATTGGCAAAAGATCTGCACAAACATATACAGTTAAACCTCTATAAATTAATACAGTCGGCACTAGGAAAATTCTATTACTTTAGCGAATTATTAAATTATCCAATTAATAATTTAACACGTTTTCATCAGAGAAACTATTATTCAATCGAGGTTCTACTGTATAAGGATTTTTTTAAAAAACTTAAACTAATAAAAAATGACGGCGAGCTCGAAAATGAACTCGACTTACTTTCTGAATTTGATACTGAAGGCGGAAAATTCCGAGATTAGTGGGAGTGCGGATGTCAAGAAATCTGTAGTTCAAACGAGTATCCTGATTCACACGAACGAGCTGCTCACCTGCCTGTATTCATCATTAATTAAGGACTCGATCGTCAGTACAAACTACAAAGTTTTCTATTAAAATATAGAAAAAAAAAGACTTTATTTCGTCGGTAGATCGATAAAACGAAGAATAAACCTGTAAAGCTTTTTCTATGTCGACATCGCTTCTAGCTGCATCGTCGAAGTTAAACGGCAGTGTGGGAGCAGCCCTGTCCACACAATAAAGTTTCCTCACTTGAATTTCCACCTATATATAAGAATTAACATATTATATTATACGGCCGAAATTAACCATTCATATTATGAATGATATACAGTTAAACCTCTATAAATTAATAGAGGCAGGACCAACAAAATTCTATTAATTTAGCGAAATATTAATTTATCGAACTAATAACTTAATATGTTTTTACCAAGTCGGGACCAGAAGAAAGTATTATTTACGCGAAGTTATTAATTTATCGAGATTCTACTGTAACTCAAAATCGTTGAAGAATTATATAATGAGATAGTAAAATTGTTACTCAAAGAAAACATTAGAAAATAATGTTATGAAGCATAGAGACACAAACAAACCTGCTGAGTGGCACCGGTAATTGGTTGAGCCGGCAGGGAGACGAGCCCTTCGATCTCGATAATACTCTCTCTGGTCAAGCTAGTGGCGAACTTCACCATCTGCGAGCTGACCAAATCTTGGGACACTGTCAAGATGCATTGAACCGTGCAGCCTCGTCTCCTAACAACGAGGAACGCCATCTTCTTCCCCACGGCCCTGATCGCCTGCGCGCGGCCACGTACTACCACCATGTTGCCCTTCAACCCGTCATTCAAATCTTGTACAAGCGTCCTCTTCTTCTTCCCGGAGATTGGTTTTGATGATGCCAACTCTTTCAACGTGATATCGCCGTAATTCGTCCTCAAGGGGTCCTCGTCGCCTTCGAGGGCAACGGCCGAAACGGCGGCTGCAGCAGATGCTGCGGCGGCTTTTTGACGTTCGAGGAGGCGCGCATGCTTCGCGGTCTCTTTCTTGGATAGCTTCTTCTCGGAGCTCTCATCGACGGTGGGATTCTGGGATGGTTCCTCCGACGACATATTTTGAGGGTTGTGTGATATGGTAATTTGGCGAACAGTTTCTAAGTTACGTAAGGAATCTTATTAACAAAATTTTATTACTAACAGAGCAAGAAACCCAAAAACCCTTGAGAAACACTAAGACCATCTTTGATCTTACGAAGACATATTTTTTGGACTGGGCCAAGGATGTGGGCCTGGGGCGAGGGATTTCCCATCAATAAAGATTTTTTGGAAATCTGCCAAATCTGCGGGGAATAAAGATTTTGAAATCTGCTAACTTTTTGTTCAAGGCAATATGTATCTTTTTGTTCAATATGTCGATTAGTGTATTTGAAATTCATAATCTATCTATATATATTATATAAAAAGAGGATCTATGCCCTCAATGATTGACATGTGGCAAATGATGATGTCATTTATCAAAATTGCTTCGTTGGTGTTCAATTGATGAGGTGGATTCTTCAATTGGTTAGTTGTCAATTTTATTTTGGTATGTATTTAAGTTATTTCATATTTAACATTTATATACTCATTTAAACAATTACTACATGTATATATATTATTTCCAAACTTAATATTTTATAAATTCGAAATAAAAAAATCTTATTTATATTTTCAGTATTTCAAAATACATTTATTGAAAAAATTCATGATACTCAATTTTTTTAGGAATATTCAAATAATTTTCAGAAAAAAATATTTTTTTAATATTAAAATAAAGCAATAAAAAAAAGTCAACGGCGGTTGACCGGCGGTCAACGGCGGCGACGGACGAAATTGTCCATAAAATTGTGTTTTGGGTTAAAATTGAATAATTTGTGACATTTGGGGTCAAATTGAGGTTATATTATATTAAATGATGAAATTGAAGCATATTAAAATGTGAGGAGCTATTTTAGTTTTTTACAAGGGATTATTAGCAAGACCGCCCTCATCTAGGAAATGTAGTTAAGGAAACCCCCCCTCCCAAAAATAATTAGAGAAAACCCCCTTAGTTAGTATTCCACCAAATGTTATTTTTATAATTCCAAATCTACCCTTAATTGTCAATGTATTATTTTAAAACCCTAATTCCACGACGAGCAAATCCTCTCCCAATTCCACGACGAGCAAATCCTCTCCCTATTCCACGACGAGCAACAACAGAAGCAGCGGCGGCGGAACAACCGCGCCGGCGAGGCGGATTTGGTTTGCGACGCCGCGGAGTCGTGTTGCGGCAGCAACTTCGACGAAATCGACCGGCGGGGGCTAGCATTGGCGGAGAGCGCTGCATCGGACGGGGCAAACATCGCCGGAGACGGATGCATTGCGGCGGCGGCGAGCAGCAGGATGTGCTGGAGCTGCGGGAAAAAGAAATCATGCGTGTTGCTTTTGGGATTAAATTAAATTAAATTAAATTAGTTTTCTTAATTGGTGGAGCTGAACATGCTCAAAATCTGACGGCTTCGGCCATGGCAGGAGCTCTGGGTGGTGTGGGGATGATGGGGAGGCTGATTTTGAGTTTTTTTGTGGATCGGACGGAGGATGCGTGTAGAGAATTTCGCACAGGCTGGAGACTTAATCGACTATGTACATGTTCATAGTCGATTAAGCTAATCGACTATGTTCTGGTTGTCGATTAAGGTTGATCGACTCCAGTTTTTTTATTTTTTTTGGATTTCTTGTTTATTGATTTCAATTTTATAAATCATTTATAATGTTTGTATATTTTTCGTTTTTTGTAAAATATAGTTGATTTTGCATTTTTTCGCAGTTGTAATTTGTTATGTTTAGTAGCAGATTCTTAATCGACTATGATTCATCATAGTCGATTAATATACCTGATATAGAAAAAAAATTAAAAAAACAAAAAAAAAATTAAAAAATTAAAGAATTTCCTTAATCGACTATGAAGCACATAGTCGATTAAGACTAATCGACTATGCTTCATAGTCGATTAAGGAAACTGATACAAAAAAGACGGAAAAAAAAAACGGAAAAAAAAAATGCTGAGCGCGTGACCCAGTGATGACGTGGCGGGCGAGGGCAAAGCTGGAAAACATAATGGCTGAAAATGGGTATGGGCTTTTCTCAAATGGTCAAAAATCTTTTGGGTCTATCCCTATTAAAAAAAGTAATGGGGGTTATGTCAAAGAGCCCCTTTTTACAAACCGTTGGATCATGTGGTCACTTTTTTATAAAAAAGTTTTTTGTCTAGACCATTTTATGAACAAGTACCCGTTTTTTGGGCTTATTCAGTTATTTGTAAAGTGCCCAAATCTTAATGTATAAAATTTTAATTATTTCAAGAGACGGTACATTGATTTCGATTCCACAGCATTTCCCCTTCCCCTTCAATGTACAGTCTTATAATATTCATCAAACAATAATTCCTTTAGAAAAAAAACATAGGTTTAAATAACCCAAAGTTAATGTACAAAGTCTTAAAATTAAAACTAAAAAAAAAAAAAAAAAAAAAATACTAGGATCAAAGATTCACAAAGATTGTCTCCATTTCAATACGATACGAGTAATAATGTCTTCCCCTTGTCGTCGTCGATAGTGTGGCCATTGTGACAGAGTTATCGGACGCCATTCGTTTTTATTCTTGTCATGAATCACCAATCTCAATTCCTCCAAATCTCGAAACCACAACTGTGATAACTGATTTTTCCTTCTAAATTCTCTCCGCATTAAAAGAATATTCCACAGACACTTGATGTGATCCATCTTCCATCCGCTTCCACAGAAGAAAGAGTCATCGATAAATCTCGGACGACAAACACAAAACAAAGCATTCATAAGAGATGAAATCGAAGATAAATCAAAACGCAAACCCAAACTATCCACCACAACTGGTTTAATATTCTTGTCTTGTACCATAATGTTTTCTCGAATGGGAGAACACTGATCAATGTTGAGAGAAATTATGGATTGGCTTAACGACTTGAGCAGTTCGTTTAGATTGACGAACCACAAAGAAGAAAAAACATCGATAGAATGCAGGTGTATAGTTGAATGCCACTCACTGGAAGAAGAAGTTGTTGCAAAAGAGATGGACGGTATAAAGTCTCCAAAATAGTCAAAACTGTTTATCTTCGGGGCATCAATAAATAGCTTGATTTCTTCGAATCCACAGCAATCAAAAATAATTAAGATCTCGAGGATTGGGAACTTACACGTCGACAAGTGGTCCAACGGCGAAACGACATCCGTCAGAGATAAACGGGTGAGATTACGAAAGTCCGCCCCCATGAGGAACGGAATATATCGGCCACGAAAATCAATTACTTGAAGAGAAGGGGTATGGATTTTGATTCTACAATCATCCACAAAGGGGACATTATCATTCACAAAAGTGAACTTCTTTAGGTTTTGTAGACTCATCGCATCAATTGTTGTTAGCGTTCGACAGTTTCTGACAGCTAAAGTTTCAATCATAGGAGAAGACAATATTATCTTCTCGAAAATATCATCCTTAATCGAGACTCGTTGAAGATCAAGTGATTTTAGATTCTTCAAGAGAAGTATCCTTCGAATAGTGGTTTGGTCCACTATGAATCTATCCAAGTGCAAATATTTGAGTGATTCGGCTTCAAAGACTACAGACGGCAGATGATTAATTTTATAGTCTTCCGTACTATTCCGAAGACGAAGCTCTTTCAAACCCATACTTGTTACTAATGTGATCCATTGCTCAAGAGCGGGCATCGATTCTTCGTCGTCGTCACCGCCTATAGATACACGAAGGCTGAATTCCTCTATGCACAGCCTGTGATCCAAGTATCGCTGTAAAGTGTTGTCCACGGTGGTTATAAAGTCTTGTTTGTTCCCTTCGAAGGCCTGGATCGAAAAATCGAGATTAGGGCGAGTGCACCAAATACTGCGCCATGATTTCGAAAGTACGGAGGTTCGAACAGCTTCTTTTTGGGAGAGGAAATAAAGTATCTTCTGCAGGATGTGTTCTGGCAATATGGATATCCTGCACGTGGAATTGAAACCGTCTTTTCCTTTTGGCCTTTTCATGTTATAAGCTGCTCCACGTATTTTTCAGCCTCCGGTTAATTAATTTGTCACAGAGAACCCTAATTAATTTGTCACAGAGAACCCTAGGGTTTATATGAATATAAGACGAGGAATATAGGAATTACAATATGGGTACAACTCTAATTACGTACCTATTGCATTCTTTCTTTGCGTGCAGACCTCTCATTGAAATATAATCCAAATATATATATATATATATATATATATATATATATATATATATATATATATATATATATATATATATATATATATATATATATATATATGCAAATAGGCCCATGACAAGGGCACTTAATTCAAAAAGGGACATCTAACTTTTTTGTCTTGCAAATATTTCCACTCATTCAAACTTATTTGCAAATAAGGAAAATACTTTTATATATACCAAAATTATCCCCAATTCATTGAAACCATATTTAACTCCAATTTCATGATTTACATCCCAATTTAGCTCAATTTCATCAATTAACCAATTTTGACATTAATTTTAATTTAACCCCAATTTTGACCCGCCACCACTGGGGACCGCCGGTCAGCCGCCGTTGACCGCCGGAGACCGATAAGACCACCGGTCTCCGGCGTTGAATTTAACTGTTAATTGACTTTTTTTTTCTTAAATTTTTTTTTAATTAATATTATTGTCTTGGCTGCTAAATTACTGTCTCCAGCAGTTATTTAACTGTCGCAGACAGTAATTTATCTGTTAAGTGGTTTTTTTTTTCCTTAAAAAAATATTTTAATTAATATTCCTGTCTTGGCTGCTAAATTACCGTCTCCAACAATTAGGGTTGTGCATGCATCGGTTTTAACCACCAACCAACCCATTTTTGACCCATAATTTATGATGGATAATCAACCATCAACCGACCCATTTAAGTTGGGTCGATAATGTCAACCAACCCATGTATAGTTAGGTCGATAATGGTTTCTAATATGCTAAAATATTGGTTAGTCGGGTAATATCGGCCAACCAACTTTATTTATTAATTTACTATTTATTAATTTTAATTAAATTATTTAATAGTTTTAATTTCAAATTTCTATTTTATATCACGTTTATTAAATTGTCTGATATTGACAAAATCCTAAAAACAATAAATCTAACCTAATTATCTAATTTGAACTATTTTAATTTTAGGAGAAAATGCACTTCGGCCCCT